CATAACTATTCCCACCATCTGTATATAATCTTCTCTTATTGCGCTTTCTGCTCTTTGTACTTCTGATTAGATGCATACAGGGTATTTCATTACCCTGTATTTATACATGTGTAATGACAATAAAGTTGAATTAAATCAAAATCAACTGATTTGAATACAGGAAAATGATCTGTTTAGGAAGTCTCGCCACTCGGCAGCTGTGCTTACATTTATTTGGGTAGTTATTTTAAACCACTATCTTAACTCACGTTTATGTAAATAGTCACTGTGACAGATTCATAAATTTTTTACATACCAAGTTTGTTTTCATAGCTCCATGAATGAGTATGTGATGGTATTTTTATATATGTGGACATGAACTTGCCCTACTGATACTGACAGTCATGCCACTCTGAAGAACTCTGACACAGTAGTCTGTTTCAATTTCCTACCTTCTGACCTTCTAAAGAACATTTACACCATCAAAGACTTTTATAGAAATGTTATCATGCACACACTCTTGGACCAGGTTTGAAGAAGAGACACACAGAGACACAAGCATGCATTCCCTCCCTCGCGCACGCACACCCAACATGGAGACAAAGAAATAGACGCCGTACACATACTCACTTCCCATACACACTCTATACTCCCAGGTCCAGGCACCAATACGTCCAGAGAGGCAATCAGCCCCCATACCCAGGAGATGGTTCCCTTCACTCTGTGGTGGAGACAAGCAGACCGTCCTGGCCACCGCAGCAGCAGAGCAGCCCACCAGCTCAGACCCCAACCAGACGACCAGCTCCTCCTCCCGGCCTCCTTTAATTTTCCTCTACAATCAATGTTAGGTCCAATCCTGCATTTCTAATGCAATCTTTTATGATGGAGAGAACTTAACAAAAGAAAAGCTTTTGATAAGGAAATGTAAATGTAAACTATTTCTCAAGACGGTAATCTAGAGACACGCACGTGGACTATGCAATTCTTTCTCTTTCGAGGTCCCAGGGTTTCCCTCTAATCTTCCATGGAGTAGCAGGCACTGATGAGTGCAACATCAACAGCACCTCTGTTTACAACATGGCAGGGGTGGAGGCATGGATGGAATACTTAGAATCCCTTTTTGCTCACCTACACAAAAAGGGAGTGGAGAAAAATAAACCAGGAGAAATCTGCATCATTTCCTTATACAGAAAAAAAGTGCGCTAACATAATAATTTCTAATCAGCCAGGCATCATGAATAAATTATGAGCCCAACTGAAACAAGTCACAGAAGATCTTTCAAATCTAGGATGTAGAAAAGCTGTTCTACATGCATGATGTAGTATCTGCTATGACGTTTTTCAGTGGAACTACTCAAGATATACACTGAATTGAAAATATTTCATTGTTTTTTTCACTTATTTGCAGGAAAGGAAACATCTACACAGTACTTGAGTTTAATAATGTAATCCTGAAAACAACTTGTTTTCTAGAAATACTAATCAGTTCAAATCCCCACAAATTGGTGACCAACATGCGGCTAGGGAAAAAACACCACATGTCAATTAAGTGGTTGTTTGACAATATCTAAACTATAGTAGTGATTTTACCTGCTTTTTCTCCTTAGCACAAGCATGAAGAAGACCTAAACATTGATTTGGGGGATTTAAATTATTAAATTAGAGTCAAATAGCTTACTGCATAAACACGTACATCAAAAAATATGTCCTTGCATCCAAGTGCTAAAACCACGGTTGAAATCAGAGGATACATGAGCAGGATAACAAAAACATGTAAAGACTATATAAAACTGAAGAAGCTGGAACCTCAAAAGAGTTTTGTATTTTTTTATGTATGTAAAAGATTGGGGAAGAGTTAAAAGGCCTTGATCAGATACAAAGGCATACTTGTGCCCTGTGCCTTATTGCTACATTACCTGAGATTTCCCACTTATAAATTTAAGCAGATTGTTTCATATATTTTCATATTTATGAGAATGAATCATTTTTAGAAAGCTACTAATATTCACAGTAGAAGCACCTGTAGACTAAATGGTAAATGGACTGGCACTTACATAGTCCCGTTCTACTGAGTCGAGCACTCAAAGCACTTTCTACAAGCCTGGTTCACCCAATCAGACACACATTCATGCAATGCTTTTATCTATGCTTAAGTGCTTTCTAACATTCACACACACACCCACACTCTGATGGATGCATTGGGGGCAGCTCAGGATGCCAAGGATACTTTGGCACGCAGACTGGAAGATTCAGGGCTCAATCCAGCGACCTTCAGATGAGTAGATGCTGTACAACACAGCACACTAACAAAAACTGAGTTTTAATTGGCATATTGGTAATTTGATAGTAGTCTGAACTCCATTGAATATGGTTGGAGACCTGAGTCTGGAACAAGTAAAGCCTCAGAGTCCTAATCAGATGACATTAGCTGAATTTTATTTGAATGGAGAAGGAAAGTGGTTTAGGTAAATGTATAATTCAGACATGCCTTTCTTTTTTTTTTTTTTTAGTTTTACTGCTCAAAAGGAAAAGCTGACCCCAATATTACAACCTCTGATGCAGAGCTAGATATATTGAGTCTTCTACCAGTTCTCTGATAATAGGGACATTCGCACATACTGACACAGTCAGTGTTACAAATCTTTCTATTGTCGGAAAATTGTTTTGATGACTAAAGAGGAGCTTTGGTTGCCTTTCCTCTATTTCTGTCAACCTCTGTGCTACCCCCACAGTGAAGAGTTATAGAGCAACAGCTGGAGGACGAGCTGCTGGAGGAGCCAACACATTCACCTTGAGCCCCAGTGTTTAATATCAGAATAAAGATTTTTACCAACATTTCTTATTATTCGGTTTGCAGAAGTTGAATACGAACTCTGACCATCTGCCACTATTGCAGATGTGAGGTGTGTGATCCCATTGCAGCGTTAAGCAACATTAACAAAGACTTGTTAATAAATTAACATTAGCAAATGTTGTGTTTGTTAATGTTGCATTCAGCAACAACGCAACGACAAACAAATATTGGTTTTGGTTAGAAAGGTCTTTATTTAAACACCTTTTTAGCCAAATGTCTACTTTTATTTTACAGAAACAGAATCAGTTATAACATATTTTATGTTTTTGAATGATCACTAAAATTTCCTAAATGAACATACTTGATTTTCGAAAGTCATTATAAAGAGGGCAGAGAGTCCCTTTACAGCTGTACAGATATGTTATCCCACAATAATGGGCAAAGATCTCTAGGTATCCATCTGGCTCTTTGCTTTGTTCGCTTGGCTGTTTAACTTTCATCAGAAGCAACATTATTGGAACCATGAATGATAAAATAAATGAAATAAATGATACTATTAAATAATGATACTATTACACCTCTAAAATAGATTTTAGTGAGAGGATAAATTTGAATACAAGCCACCCCAAATTTTCAGATGGTAATGTAAAGCTAACTCTAACTGGACTGAAATTTCATTTATTTGTTTATTTATTTATTCATCCATTTACTTTTCTTACCACTTAAATTCCCTTTATGCCTTATGCTTTTAACATTCATTGCAGTTTCTGGTAAGTTTGGAACATTTTTGAGGTTCATTAGGCCTGTCATGTTCAAGGACACTCCAACATCCAGACTGGATCAGACCATGACTTCCAGATTAATAGCCTGTGTCCTCCTGAGACATAGCTACTTCTTAATGATATAAGGTGTCACGGAAATCATTATGAGTTTACTCAGTACATTCTTTTCGTTTCCTCTTGATGGACAAATTATTAATATGTGCACATGATATGAAAGTAATGTTAACCTGTTTCTGCTATCCACGCAAAAGAGACTAAGAAGAGATAAGTAGTGTCATGACACTGTAATATGATAAATTAGGATTATCGGTTGCTGTGTTTATGTTGGGCAGGGTTTTTTTTTTCAATAGGGCAATTTGGGGCTGGATAATACAATGAGCCAACCACAGCTGGGGGCTCATCCAAAAGTCAAATACAATTTTTAATAAAACAACAACAAACAAAAAAAAAACAATTCAAAAAGGGAGGGATTTTTTTCTCATTTACTTAAAAATTACTAGGAAGCTATAGGTTAGCTGAAGCAGCTAACAGGACATAGAAAATGGTTTAGCTAACCCTTATGACCTGTAAATAAGGAGCCAGGCTGCCCTCACCAGTGCAAGGTCTTCTGCAGCTCACCAGGGAATACTTTTTGCCCAGCTATTTTATTTATTTGTTTTTGACAAAGAAAACTTGTATGTATTCATTTTCTATAAGTGGACACATCCTAATACCATGCTTTTTCTAGAGAAAAGCTCCCTGAACTCTTGCATGTATTATTATTTTAACACTCATCCTGTGTGAACAATTGCAACAGATACTGAGGGAAGTGGCAAGTGACGCTGGGTGAGGAAGCAGAGGGGGAGATATCAGCTGTGTGTGTGTGTGTGTGTGTGTGTGTGTGTGTGTGTGTGTGTGTGTGTGTGTGTGTGTGTGTGTGTGTGTGGACATACTGTTATTCTATGACCATTTCTATTTCATATGAGGTAATTTAAACATTTTGGTGCACTGTGATGGTTACATTCTTCAGTGAAGTAGAGTGCACTCGATGTAAAACTATTCTGTGTACAGTATGTACACATTCCAGTGTGATTTGAGTAATTGTTGAAGGGGACAAAAAGACCTGCCCATTAAAACCAGTTAGCTAGGCCTTGTTACCAAACATTTGTAAAGGTGTTTGTGGGTATTGGCCAATTACAAGCTATGCCCTGGCTGCAGTTAACCGCACAGCATACAGTATGTTAGCACTGGGATTCGTACTGGTTAACTCCCGTGTAGGAAAAGCCTTTCAATCCCCTAAATCTCACTCCCTGGTATAGTTCTAATGCTAAGTCTCGGTGAACTACAGTAAACAGACGGCAGGTGCATCACTCCCACACCTGCTCCGGAAGTACAGTACCTTTAGCCGCAGGACAGGCTCTTTGTTTGCTTTGTTGTGACGGTAACGCGCCTGCGTGCCAGCGCACTTTATTACACAGGTGAGCTCATCGAACTGTGCTAACAAGAGGAAGGGCAGAGAGCAGGTGAGGCCGAGCCTTATCGCCAATACCGAAAGTAACAGTATTACGAGGGATTCTTCTTTTTGTCGTTGTAGTCACCGTAATGCCGACCGTGTGTTAGCCGTTTGGTAGGTTTTCAAAAGGTTTTTAAAGTTAAAAAACTTTCTCGGAAAAAAGCCTACATCCAGTTTGTCTCGCTTATACCAGCAGCGCGCTTTGTGTTTTGTTTTTTAGTATTAGATATTAATGCTAAAACATTCAAGGGATTTTCCCTGTAAAGGTGGTGTTTTTCAGATCTCTTTAACGGATTAATGTCATTTTTCCTCACCTGTAAAAGGACGAAATGACGGCCACGAAAGACATGGAGGATTTTTTCAAAACGGTAAACATGACACAGCTTTGAGCTACGCTGTTCTTTCTGAAATAGCTCAAATTTCATATGTACAATATTTTAAAGGCAATACTTAATACATAGGTTAACTGTCATAGACTGTGTAATTACATTTAAATGTGTAATTTCTGGCAGGGGTTGTCTGATAAACGTGTGTTCATTTTGCTAGAAATGTGTTAGCCTCACAAAAGCAAAGTACCATGTGTGCTGTCAGACCAGTTCCCACCACCATACCCCATATAATATTTTCATGTTGTGTGTTCCAAGCTGTGTAACAGTAGTGTTTGCATCCATGCATGTGTAGGTGGGGGAGGTGAGAGGCCTCATTGAAAAAATCTCCTGTCAAGCAGAGGATGTGGAGAGAAGACAAGCTGCCATCCTTGCTTTTCCGAGTCAAGACAAGAGTAAGTGCTGATTTTTATTTTTATTTTCAAAAAGAAGCAAGGACAAAAGTGAATTCTTTGTTGTTATGCTGAAGCGTTCAAACGGTCTCAAATTCTCCTTGTCACACAACAGCAACAAGAAACACACACAACAAAGAGTCTAAACAGCCTTTGACAAACACACCTGCAGCTGTTTGTACAGCAACAGACTTGGTAAATGTTACACAGATCAACATGCTTAGGAAGTTTAGATATAGCTTCAAAATCTGCATATACTCACACACATATACACCCACAGATGGAGATAATAACAGTGTAGCGTGCAAAAGGTCACTAGGTACCTCAAATTAAACCGTCTCCAGCTTGTGGTGGTATTCTTTACACACCATTATTAAGAAATGACTTGTTGTGCTTATAGCAGCGGTGCATTTTGTAGTTTATTTTTGAGTAGACAATATTAATACTCAAAAATGCAATTTCACTGGCCTCTCTAAGATGCTCTTTTTATTCCTACTCATGTTACTGACCCAGTGTCAGTTCCCCAGCTCTTTCTTCTTAGTACCACTTACCTTTTATTTAACTTTTTTTAACATTTTCTTGTCCTATCCCAATTTTGAGACATAAAATGAGTAATGTTTATTTTAAATTGTACATTTTCTGTTATGAATAAAATATGTTTATCAGATTTGCTGATCAATGCATTCTGTTTTTATTCACATTTTGTACAACATACCAACTGTTTTTAAAATTGCAGATATAATATGAACATCACAAAATCACTATATATAAAACTTAATCCTTTTTGACACCCGTGGTGTCTGTCTGTGGTGATATTCACCACACACAGTAGTTATTTCCTCTGTGGACTGAACTTGTTTTGTTCTTCCCAGGAAACAAAGATGAGCTGGAGTTGCTGAACAATGAGACCAAGAAGAATGCTAAGTTAATCAAAGCAAGGCTAAAATGTAGGTGGACACATTTTTTTGTAAAGCACTGCAAAATTAGCTTTTATGCAGTGTAAGTTTTTGGCATGCTTCAGTGCAGTTAGATAAAATTTATCTTTTTTTTTTAAATGAATAATGCATATTTAGCTGTGTTGTTATTGTTTAATATAATGAAATGGGGAGGATCAGTGCAGCTGAGTTCCTCATACAGTGGGAATAGTTTGTAACACAGGATTTGACTTGTAAATGTGTAAAAAGGAAGTGTGGTGTAGCCCACTCAACATGCCTTTTGTAAACAAGCTGACAACAACACTGAGCTCTTTACTGTAACTGCAGAAAAGGACTGTGACATAGCAGACTTTGTTTAGTTTCCACTTGGTCCTGTATTCATGTTAGATCGGATTGTTTTTCAGCAATGCAGAAGCCTGGGGATGAGACCGGAGCTACAGTAGCCCAACGTATTAGGAATAACCAGGTGTGCAAATAGTTTTATTTCCTGTCACAAACCAGGTGCAAAATGATTGTCTGACACTCCTTTGCAGTTTCAAACACGCCCGGCAAAATTACTCCTGACAGAGGTCTCTTTATTGACATTTGAATTGATTCACTTCATTCTCTGGCTCTCTTTCAACAGCACTCGTACTTGACTCGGTGGTTTGCTGAAGTCATGAAGGGTTACCATGAGGCACAAATTTCCTTCAGAGAAAAATGCAAGGCAAAAATTCAGAGACAGCTGGAGATTGGTAAGTTGCCAAATCTAAAAGGGAGCACTTGTCCCTCCTCACCCTCACGTCAGGTTGTGTAAATGGATTTTATTTCATACACCAGTCCATACTGCATTGAATGGAGGGCGCTTCTGCCAATGCTTTACTAGCAGGAAAACCTACACTAGTGTAAGTCACTGTGAGGGTGTTTGCATAGTAATAGCACTTTGGATAATAAGCTGGTGTCATTTTGGAGCAGCAATTTACAGTCTACAGTTTATGGTCAGAGCTCTATTGTAAATAAGTGTCAGGTTCATTGTTCTTTCTCATGACTCACTACTTCACAGTATTATAACCAGCTTTCTATTATATGTCATGTTCACAGTTTTTTCTCCTTTTGTAGTCTGAAGTTATTTTGTACATTTAAACAGTAAAGCAAACTGTCCTTTCAATTCCTGTTAAAAACAGTGCTGCCTTACAGTTTACATGCACTCACAAACTACTTTATTAGATACACTTTATTATTATCTAATAAAGAGACTGGACTAACTTTCACCTTAATTCTTCATGGCTGCCAGCCCATCACATTCAAGGTTCTATGTGTTCTACATTCAGAGATGTTTTTCTGCATGTTGTAATGAGAATGATAATTTGAGTTACTGTTGCGTTCCTATCAGCTTGAAGCAGTCTGGCCATTGCCTCTGTCCTCAGGCATCAACAAGGCATTTTTGCCCAGAAAACTCATGGGGTATTTTTTTGGCCTATTCCCTAAAAAAACCCTAGAGATGGCTGTGTGGGAAAATCTCAGTAGATCAACAGTTTCAGACTAGCCAGTGTGACACCAACAAACATGTTACATTCAAAGTCACTTAAATCACCTTTTTCCACATTCTGATGCTCAAACACAGGTCACCTTGTCCATGTCTGCATGTCTAAATGCATGCACTGCGTTGCCATGTGATTGGCTGAATAAAGAGTTATGTTAAAAAGATGTTGAATAGGTGTACCTATAAAGGTGGCAGGTATGCTATGGTAATTGCCAGTATGTTAATGCCATTAAATTTGATTTTTTTTCCTTCAAATCTGCAATTAATATTGTACTAAGCAGCTGGCAGGGTGAACCTCTGTTTAATAAGCACTCATACATGCGGTTCCCCATGATGACATCTAGAATAGTTACAGGGTGCAGTGTATCTGTGAAAACTGTTTTTAAGTGTAGTACTTAAGCTGCTCCACAGTACGATACACTGTAATTTAAATGTGCAGTAGTACGTTTAGTAAACAGACTAATGTAAATCATTATAGCAGTAAGTAGAAGTTGAGGTGTAATTGCGCCATCCTGTGGTGACTATCTAACTGGCATCCTTGGCAGCACAAAATAAGTCTTGCTCTTTGTCTGTTATTTATTTAGTTGTTGTTCAATAAATTAAGTTCCACAAACATGATGAAACTTATTTAGTATCTTTTGTTACTTTCAGTGAATAAAAGCACTACAGGTAAAGAGTTGGAGGAGATGTTGGAACGTGACAATCTTGCCATCTTCATATCTGATGTGAGTGGAATCCAACATTTTTTTTTGGGGGGTTACTCAGATAAGCAGTTTTTGTAGGTTTGAAGCCATTTATATGATAAATCAAACACAGCTTGAGCATTTTCTCTTTCGCAGATCACCTCTGACAGTCAGATTTCCAGCCAGGCTTTGACTGAGATTGAACTTCGCCATCAGGAAATCCTCTGCCTCGAGTCCAGCATTAAAGATCTGCACGAGATATTTGTTGACACTGCCATGATGCTGGAACTCCAGGTAAAACAAGCTACCTCGCATGGGAATGTTTAATGAAGATTAATGTAACATATTTGTGAATGACATTCATGTTTTTTTCTTCTCCCAGGGCGAGTTAATCAACAACATAGAAAGAAATGTCACAACTGCTGCAGAGTATGTAGACAGATCAAAGGAAGAAACAAGCAGAGCTGTTGACTACAAGAAGAATCCTTATAAGATAACATTTCTGCCGAACTTCATGAAGTCCCTCAAGAAAAATAGTGCCCCTGATCCTGTGTGAACAGTGACTACACCAAATGTCCTGGTGTGCATTGAAGTCAGTTTTATCTGATTTATGTTGCCTGTGTGCCCCTCAGGCTCCTTTCTAAAGGATTTTGATGACGCTGTTGTTTTATTAATGAAAATAATTCATTTGATAATAGTAAAACGATTCTGTGGACAAGGCAGCAGCTTCCTAACACCACGTTCAGTCAGTGTATTTAGATTCCTAGTCCTCAGGGTTTACGTTGTAGAAATGGCAAAACAGCCCCTTTTATGTTTTCCTTCAGTCTCTTATTTAGCCAGTAGGTGTCATGACAACACTACAGTGTTCCTTCTCTATTTGCTGCCCTTTAAAACTATGGTGCTGCATATTGTGTTGTTTTGTTTTTTTAATGTTTGTTTTTTAATGGTTTAATATAGCACTGTGTTAAAGTGAGAAAAAATGTCTGTAAACTGACCACGCCGATCTCAAAATAAACCTGTGAGGAATGGTGCGGTACTTAATTCATGGGTCTTGTATTATGATAGCACAAATGAAAGAGGAGAAGGGATTGCTTTGATGATTGAAGGTAGAACACAGGCAAAATCATATTTATAATGTAAGTGAAGGTCAACTTTAAGTTGATTTGGTTCAGCTAAAAAGCTATATGTTGTTTTTAGTGCGCACAGTGGCGATCCATATTATGGGCAATAGTAGCAGAAACATTCATTCAGAAACATTTGGATGACTGATTAGAAGGTTAGGATTTCAAGCTTCCCTATACCGTAATGTTAAGCACTCAGCCTTCTCTTTAGCAGCACTCCATACTCTGACCTCAGTTTGCTAACAAGATGAGAATGTGCGACAATCAAAAAGAATGTTACTGTGGTGTAACTTTGTGAAAAAAAACAAAGGCTTGCATTCGAATGCTGTCGCAGGCCTGAAGAATTTCTCCTCACATAAAATCACTTCAAGGGGACAACTAAACAGTCTGGATGTACTTGCAGGAAGATGACAAAGCGTCTTATGCTATTAAGCCATGAAAACAACTTGTACAGGGATGAACCATTCTTCCAAAGGTTGTCTTGGTTGGGGTTTGGCCAAAATGACAGTTCAGCATCTTCCTATGGTGCTGCACTGTGTGGAGATTTATTGATGGGGGAAGCCAGAAGATGATGTATGATGATGTCACTGTCATACTCACTGAACAGTTCAGCAAGCTTGTGTAAACTGAGGCATTGTCATCCTAGAAGACACTGCTCCCATCAGGATAGAAATGTTTTTCTGCACAAAAAAGGCACTCGGAATAAATTTGCATTAATTTTCAATAACACTTTGTCAAAAGGGACAAGTCCACCCAAAACCTTCAAGAAAAATCTGGAAATGTCTGCATTTATGTTTCTCCCAATGACTGCAGTCACTTGTCTGTACTGACTCTTACCTGGGCCTTAAGTGCAATAGGTACCTGTTTAAAATTATTGCGTGTGTTCGTTTTTCAGTGAGATCTGACTGGGGTGGAGGATGAGCAAGCATATTCCTTCATAATGGGAGTGCTGCCAGGTTGAACCCATTGACTTATCCATTAGGCTGCGTTTCTCGCTCTCTTCCCCCCTCCCCCCCTCGCTACAGCTCCTGGATAAGATTTCACAGCACCTTTAGCACTTTGCTGAAAGCTCGGATTTTCAAAGAGGGAGGGAAGAAGGATGGGAGATAAGGATGACGATGTAATTTAAAGACACAAAAAGAGAAAAGAGGTGCAAGAAGATAAGGAAGACAATGAAACTGATACAGCACTACATAAAAAGATGGTTTCTTTATTGGTTGCGCCAGGTTGGCGAGGGCCCACAAGATAGGGCTTGGCCACAAAGGACTGAGTGGTGTGTGATGACATCAAATGTTAGGCCCTGCAGTTTTGCTTTGAAAGGTCATCCCTGTGTTTGTCATTTAAGCAAACAGTAAGCTAATGGGCTGAAAGTGGCCTGTCTCCAAAAGAACCATTAAACATTTCCCCAGTTGGAATGGACAACAAGGATCTACTAATAGATTAGAGGAAAAGGTTGAAGGTGGGTAACAGTCTCTTTTTCTGCCTCTGCAAGGAGTCTGGCTTATTTCTTCGCTTTGCCCTGGGCAGCTACAGCCTCCATGGCCTTCTTTACAGTTTCCTCATCACCGAGGAAAGACATGGGCTTAATGGGCTTCAGGTTGGCATCCAACTCATACACAATTGGGATTCCCGTGGGAAGGTTCAGCTCCATGATGGCTGCATCAGACATACCTGGTGATGCAAGCAGACAGAGCAGATGAAGACATGCGGAGATCAGCATCAGAGGGCTGTAACTGATACAATACACTGTACTGTAAGTCTGTCAGAATCCCAGCAACATAGACAGGACAACAGATGGACAACAGAAAAAAAAAGTAAAGCATGTTTTCTTTATATCTCAGTGTATTTTAAGTTCCCTCAGGTCTGCATCTGTCTTTCAACACTGGACCTGCCACTCCTATCTGACATTTACTATTGCCCTTGAAGCTCTTTAAAACCCTTATCCGTCTCTGGGCTGCTCCTTGAAAAAGTACAACCTTTCTACATAAAGGTCGTGACTGTAATGGGAACCAAGCTCATGACCCTCTACCCTGTCCCTGAGATCTGGTGTGAGCCTCTGCTGCTATTTATAGACAATCCACAACTCTTGTCTGTATGTGTGTAAAGTCTGTGTAAGTGTGTGACACTGGCTATTCAGGTCAACTTTCTGCAGAAGTCTTTGGCTATCATGAAAGAATTTCACTGTTAAGTGTTCTGCAGTGTCATTTTTTAAGTCACTCTATCTACTGTGTCCGACCTTCTCATTCTTTTCTTTTTGTAAACTTTGTCCACAGTGCTTACCCTCTAAGTGCTTGACAATGCCACGGAGGCTGTTCCCATGGGCAGCAATGATGACATTCTTCCCAGCTTTGATTTCAGGAACAATGACTTCATTCCAGAAAGGCAGAGCGCGGGCAATGGTATCTTTAAGTGACTCACATGTGGGCAGCTCACCAGGCTTCAAGCCTTTGTAGCGCCGAGACTGGAGGCAAAAACAACACCGCAAAGTACAAAAGCTTAATAACTGACAGCACTCTCAAGCAAATTCTGGAGCTCTTTAAGCTAAGCTACTTTGCATTTGTCTCACCTCGCTGATGATTTTGTGATAAGGGTGGTCCTTATCCATGGGTGGAGGTGGGATGTCAAAGGAACGACGCCAGATCTTCACCTGCTCTTCACCGTGCTTTTCAGCCGTCTCCGCCTTGTTGAGCCCAGTGAGGCCTCCGTAGTGGCGCTCATTCAGACGCCAGGTACGAATCACAGGCAGCCACATCTGGTCTGTGCCCTCCATGATGGTCCACAGGGTCTTGATGGCACGTTTCAGCACAGAGGTATAGCACACATCAAACTTCATGCCTGCCTCCTTGATAGCCTGGGCACCACGCTTGGCCTCCTCCACTCCCTTTTCACTGAGGTCAGCATCGAACCAGCCACAGAAGCGGTTCTCTTGGTTCCAGGCGCTTTCGCCGTGGCGGACAATAACCAAACGATGGGCGGCAGCCATGCTTAATACTATTTCCCTAGATTTTTACTTAAACCAGACACAGAGCCCTCAGCCCTCCTAAGTTGTGGACACTCACACACACTCTGGCTGACCAACAGTAAGCCCAAGGCAGCATACCACATCCTTTTTATAGCAACCTGGATCATGGCAATGCCTAGCAGACAGGCCTTCTTTACTTTCCCCCTGTGAGAGGCCTTCATACTCTGATGGACACACTGGGAGGACCAATAGAGCCAGGCCTCTATCCTGGGACATGTGGTGTCTGGGAAGGCCAGAGGTCAGATACTGATCCAGAATAGCAACATGACTTTTAAACTGACATCTGTGCAAGAAAAGTGTAAAGATCAGAGTTGGAACCTCATGCTCAGATGAAGCATTTCCTCACTCTTCAACTCACTGCACAGTGAAGATTTTGTATGTTTAGTAAATATTTGTCCACAGGGCATTTGTTGTGTGGGCATAACAGTGACTATATGACTCATGTAGGTCCTCTGTGTTCCAGTATGGCTGGAGAAATTCCATTTTCAGTGTGTCACTAAACAGCTGCATACAGTAGCTGCCAGTGCCAGCAGAAAAAT